GGGATAGTCGCGTAAACGCGTTACCCTCCCCAAAACACTTTATGTCTCCCTACGTTTTTATATTAGGCATTTTTTTCCTCCTCTGCTCTTTTCCATGGAAGGCAATACTGTACTGTAGCAGCCCAATAATCTGGACTGCATGGGGAAACCTGAATTACTGCTTGTCATTCTATCTTAACTAAAGGAGTTTGCTGCCTTGAAGGAAACGTTCATCCATTTGATTTAAAATACTAAATAGTGCATTGGGTGCTCATATACACCCCCACCCTTTTTTTAAGGGCTCTAGTTACCAATAACCATCAGTAGAGCTCCTTAAAATCAACAGGCACCTGGCATGACAATATTATCTGCACAAGTCCAGGAGAAAACCTATCTATGGGGCTGCCAAGAGTCGACACTGACTTGATGGCGCATAATCAACCAATATGTAGACAACATGTCAATTCATCAGAGGCATGTATTTATTTATTTACAGGATTTATAAGGCCACCCAACTCAAACAATATCACTCTGGACAGTGTACCACAACAACAACAAAACAATAAACTCAGAAGAACCACATAACACTAAAACATACACAATATCTAAATATGAAATACAGAATGGAAAATTAGAGATCAAGCACCATAATAATAAAAAACCTGAAAGAGGACTCAACTCAAGTGGCCCCAACTGCCTGGGGGAAAGCCAGGTCTTAAGGGTATTGCGATCTAGATATGATTATGCATTCACATGAGCATTGTTTTATTTATTTATTTATTGCCTGGACTAGTCCCTGCTGTTTTCTTGGCAAGATTGCAGAAGTGGTTTGCCCTTGCCTTCTTCCTCCTAGGACTGAGGGAGAATGACTGGTCCAAGACCACCCAGAAGGCTTCCATGCCTAAGGTGGGACTAGAATTCATAGTCTCCCAGTTTCTAGCCTGGTGTTTTTAATCACTACTGGCTCTTACTGTATTTATATCCTGCTTTTATTTTGTACAACTCAAAGTGGTGTACATACTTAATGCTCGTGCCTCCTATTTTCCGTACTACAACAACCTTTTGAGCTGTGTTGGGGCGAAAGGGAAGGACTGGCCCAAAGTCACCCAGCTAGCTTTCATGTCTAAGGCAGGACTAGAACTCACAGTCTCCAGATTTCTAGTGCATCATCTTAACCACTCTGCCAAAGTAATTCTCACAGTCCCAGCACAGACTGGGGAGATGCGCATACTGAACCAAAAGATAAGAAAAATGATTCTGATGTTTCTATATAATAAGAACAGTATGTCTTCACAAGAACGATTATGGTCAATGCTTCTTGCCTTTGTGCTTCAACAGACTCCTATTTTTTAACTCTGCTTTTAGCCACATATTTCACTAGAAAATCTGATGATTCGACTCACTGTCTACTCAACAGTAGTGTTGCTAAGGAGGGCAAAGTAGAATACTGTAAAGCCTAAGCTTGAACAGGCTTGCTAAAAATGAACTGCAGCAATAGCAAATAGACATGTTTATCTCTACATGAGAGCCAATTAAAGAAAACTTAGTGAATTCCCCTATGTTCCTGAATTTACTGTGCAGTAGCTATTCACAATGACTGAGTGTTAATTTTCTGTTTCCAGTTGGATTGGGTGATATTGAGACAGGTGGACACTCTGGTTCAGTATAAGATATACTGATATTCAGTATAAGATAGTCTGGTTCAGTATAAAGCAATTCCTTGTTTAAAGTGTTATTACAATCAGATACTTTGTAATAATTGAATAATATGATTAAATAGTGTGAGCTTCAAATTCATATATAGTTGGAAGGAGGAACAACTCATTCTAATTAATTTGTAACTTCATCCAGCAATAAACTTAAAATTAGTAAAACTCTTGTTTTACAATTACGTTGAGTTTTTCTGTTATAGGCCTAAATTGCACCTCAGATTATATTTTGTGGTAATGAGTGATCCGGGAATTAATGTTTATACCCTCAGTTGAGCTGTGCATGTAAACTTTGGCAAATGTTTTACATAGGTGCAATATATATGTGAATCATGATATCACAGCCCCCACATTTAATTTCTGCACTGCCTGATTCTGCCTGCCATTAAATTATCATATTACTATACCAGTGATGTTTGATTTCTAAGAATTTGTTTATAATAGCAGAGAGAAGAACACTTTAAGGTATCCAACATTTCATGTCTTAAAAGTAGTCGAAATGCAGTAACTGGAAGAAAACATGTTTATTTTCACTTAAGAACCAATTAAAGAAAATGTAGTGACTGTATAAGTTTCAACTGATTCAATAGTTAAATCTATGTGTGTGTATATATCTTCTCTCTGCCAATGTATTAAAAATAAATCTAAAGCTTTTATTTATTCAATTTATATAGCTGTCCATCTCATATTTGTGACTTTTAAATTCAATCATTGTTCATCCAGTGAAAAATATCATTTTGCAGGTTTCTGCGTATCTAAAAGGCCAAACTGGTTAATTGTTTTGGAAGGGTGGGGGTGCTGATGGACAGCTTGAATGTCATTTGTACTGGAAGTATAATACAGGTGTTTATGTTCAAGGTTCATTGAATTCTGCTGGGGATTTATGTAACTGTTACACTACCCTAAGAAGAATATAATAAACATCAATAGATGCAAACTATTTTTTTTTTTAGATTATACATCTCATTAATTGCTCTTGTAAATGGAATTCCAGGTCTAAGAGAAACTTATTGAGAAACAATGGCTATTCCGTTCTCGAATACCACTCAACGCATTCCTCCAGGATTTGCCAATCTGCTTGAAGGGCTTGCCAGGGAAGTATTGAGAAACCAGCCTGAAGATATACCAACTTTTGCAGCCAAGTATTTTGAAACTCTCCTTATTGAAAGAGAAAGTGAGCATAAATTGACTGTATTTAAGGTGTTTAGCATACACTTGCATTCTTGGGCTTTATCTGGTTTGCAAGAAACCAGTATTTACTGGTTTAGGTGTCCATCATGTGGCATTTTCCTTTCCTAGGAATGTTTTTGGACCATACAGAAAGTGACTGGGACAGTCTGTTAAAACTGGTGAAGGGCCTTCTAGTTTAGCTAATGTGTAGGTTCTGAATAAGACGCTGGGCTTATTCTCAAATTTTCAATGCCCTCTTCCTGTTACACTCAGATCAGTAGGCTTTAGGTTATCTCTTTTTCTATATACATATATCTCTCCTACAAGCATAATGTCCTATCATATGTTAAATTTTGGCGGGGGGGGGAAGTGTGTTTCAATTTTGACCTGTAGCTCGAAGCTGGGATAGATTTAGAACACTTTTCTTCATTTGAAATTGCTTAATGAACTAGGGCTACTGTCAGTTTTAAAAGTTTTGTCACTTTTTAAAAAAATAACTAGAGACCTCTGGTAAAATGTTTGTGATACATTTTAGAAATTAGTTGGACAGAAGAAGCAATCTTGCTAATTGACTGTAATTTAAAACATGTTTGTTTCTTAATTAGAGGCTAACTTATAAGACAAGTTGAAAGCTACTGGCCTCAGATTGTCTGGTAGATAACCACAGAAAAGCAACTTAATTAAAAACAAACAGAAGCTCAGTTTCTCTTCAGCTCCTAAAATTGTGCACTCCTGAATTAGAAGATAGCGTTGAATAAAATTGGAGAAAAATGAATGTGTGTCACCCTTTTAAGAAACAGACCTATGACAGTCCCAACATAAAGCAGCTCTTGAATCAATTGGAATCAATTTCATCTTTATCCCACCTTTCCTCCTCAAACATCTGGAATGAGACATAAGTGTTTTCCCTCTTACAGCTATTAGATAGGTTGGGCTAAGAGATGATATACATGTTTCAAGCAGGCATTAACAGTACCACTCATCACCTTCCCAGGAGTAGCAACTCCTGCTCTGTGGCAAGAAAAAGTGAGAATAGTGCAGCTGTTTAGACAAATTATGGTCCTTTCATTGGCTCCATCTTCATCCAAGTGTCTGAAGCAGTGAGGTGCTTCAGGTGGAGTCTTCACTTCCTTACAAAAGGCCTTGGAAAGTACAAAGCAGCAAGAAAAATGCCAACTTTTCCTCCAGTCTTTCTTGTTTGCTGCAAAAGTAAATGATGTTTTTATCATCATATTTATTGTGACAGTTGTCACTTAAAATAGGACAAGTAGCCGGTATAGCAGCCATTCCTTTGGCTATGAGTTATGGAAGCTGTACTCAAGGAGGTCTGGAGACACCAAGGTGAAGGCAGCTGCAATGTAGATTCATGGTGTCACAGAAAAAATAGCGCACTGGTATCTAACTTATTCATGTGAAATTGAATACCTTACCCTAGTAAGATTAGATCTCTGATTATAACACCCACTATCCCACTTTCCTCTCACAGCCTTTTCTCCTCTCTAAAACAAAGCAAATTAATGTGTATGTTCATTCATTTGCTACAGTACACTTATTTTAAGCATTGTAGGAAATAGATGGAGGGCTGAATGATTTGTCTTTACTCGTAGCAACAGCACAGGTTTTTTTTCTACCCTCAATGCACAGGCACACATACTGAATTATCCTACCAAAACAAAGAAAGTGGGCTATGTGTATTTTATGTGAGAAAGGATTTGCTTAATTCAAGTCTCATACTGAAAGCAAACTCCTGGCTCCTCCTTTTTGTGGCAGACTCAAGGTCCTAGATTATTATTTTTTTTTAATCAAAATAGACTCCCAAAAGCTTGAAGTTTTCAAGTCTGTGCTTTGTTTCTTCTCTTAAGTTCTTGGGAAGAGATCTCTGGTTCAATTTTGACCTATTATCCTGCCTACTATAAAGAGTGTTGCAGCTGTTTTTCTCCTCTTTATTACACATAATTGCAAAGCTGTTGAGTTCTGTACATATGCATGTTTAGACTTTTTTCAGATAAGAAATGTGCACTGTTCTTAAAGGATCTTCAGTGTCACTGTGATTGCCAATTTAAATAAGCACCATTTGACCAGGAAACTTTTAATTCTTAACAGAAGTCAGTGAGTTGTTTTTTTTTTTAAAAAAAGTCATGTCTTTTCAGAAACTGGATATGATCCAAGTGAATGGGGAGCAAAAATAGAGGACCGATTCTACAATAACCGTGCTTTCAATGTAAGTATTATTACATAGTGAACTACTCCCCACCCCCCACCTTTGACATGCACAACTTTGAATCAAGCTACACATAGTACATCAAAATCAGGAGACAATAATAATAACCATGAAGTTGGTTAGGGGTCACTGGCATATTTTCCAAAGGAGTTGGGATAATAATTTGTAGAAAACTGAATTAGAAAAATGATAGGTGGGAAGAATCTAAAATTTCCCCTGGTGCTGAAATTTAGATTCAGTAGCTTCACCCTATGACTGCTACAGCATTAAAGTCTCCCATGTCATACTTAATTGAATCCATAAAAAGGATTGAAATTACTTATTTTCTTATGAAGCTACTTATTGCAACATCATTTTGATGGAATTCTATATGGAATATAACCAGGGCTTGGCATACATTTAGCAATCTTGTCACCATGTGCTCAGTTAACCATTCCAATTATGGATATATATATTTAGGGTCTTAATCTTTACGATCTTAACTGGATCAAAATTCAAGGGAAAAAAAATCACCTACACCATTAGGCTCTAATGCATCAATAATGCCCTCTTGTTTTTATCAGGAACTTGCACCACCAGGAGATGGAGCTAAAAAAGAGGAGAAAGAAGAAACTGCTGCAATGCCAGTGAGTAATTTTTCCAGAGGTTAAATGCAAAGTTCTGAAAACAGAGAAAAACAAAATTAGCCTGTATTATGGCTAGTAATTGTTGACCTTGGTGTGCTTAAAAAGTTAGTTAGGTTGTATACAACCATTGGGGCCAGAATTCATTTTATATGGGGTCTAACAAGGGCCAAATTGATGAAGGCCCATTCACATTTGGAAAACATTTTTCACTGCTGTTTACAAAGACTCATGGAATTTTTGTTTTAATTCCCTGGTTGCTGATCCACTGAAGCAATTTTTCCACTTGAAGATTAAACAGTTGAAAAACTTTATCTCACTGAAATTAGTAAGAGAAAATATTCTATCTCCAAAATTGTTTGGCATAAAGAAACAGCCCAGATTTTTCCTAAAGACTTAAATTTCTTCTTCTGAGTTATTCACATGCTAGATTTAGATTTAATAATGGCAAAAATATAGCTAAAAGCTGCACCCCTTTTTCTATGAGTTTCCAATGAAGATCTATGTCCGAATAAAAATGGATGCCCACTACAAGCACAGCTTAAAATGCTTAAGTCCCACTAGTTTTAACCATCCAGATGTACTGCAAAATCCTGTGCATATTTTGGAATACATGGGTATACAACTGCAGCCTTAAGCACTGCTTAATTTACCCACTGAAGTAATTGCATCTTAAACTATTTTAACTTTGGTTGTTTTACCCTTTGCGTGTATTTTGTATAAATAAAAGTAAAGGCATAGACAGTGTGAAATTGCAGCCTGTAGTTTTATTTAGTTGTTAGGTTTATATTATCTTTAAGATTTATATTATCCTTACTCTAGGAGTGCAGGCAGTGTATGTAGCGCTCCCTCCTCCAGTTTTTCACCCCAAACAACACTAAGAGATAAGTGTTTGTAGGCCACCCATGGGTTTTGATGATGGGTGGTCTAAAAATCAGTCAGATAAATAAACCAGCTCAACTTCAGCAGGGAGCCTTGATAATTGTGAATGGACAAACCAGATATCTGTAAATTTAACCACTACACCCCAGGAGTTTTTATATTGGTATTTTTCTCTCTCCAAATAAGGAAAGTTTGCTCTTGGATGAGCAGTTGGTGTTATCTAAGCATTAAATCTGGACATTCGTATCGGGCAAATCTTTCTTTGAAAAATGAGTGAAAAATGCCCAAGTGGCATTCACAGAGTCTAGTATTAAAAATAGCCCTACTGATTTGGAGGTGGGGGGAGGGATTTGGGGAAAATATATATTATAAAAGTGAAAAAGCAAGATGCATCTTACTTCCCCACCTAGCTTCGGCATCAATCTTCTAAAGTATGTTGACTCATACAAATATGAGTTATACTTATTGTAGCTTAACTTTTTTCTTCCTTTCTTCCTTCCCTCTATATCCCCCTTTTTAAAACCCAGTGGGTAAAATGCAAAGATGAGAGATGTAAACTTGATTTTCTTTTAAACCATAAAGGAGGAAGAGGACAAGAAACCAATTGAGGCAACCTTATCCGAAGAACAAGCTGCTATAAAAATTCAGTCCATTTATCGAGGATACAAAACAAGAAGAGGGAAAAGCCCAAAAGAAGAAGAGGGAGGAGAAGGAGAAGAAGCAGGGAAGGTACCTGGAGAGGCAGCCAAAGAAACTGAGAAGGAGGAAGTATCTAGTGAGCCTGATAAAAAAGAACCATAGAAATCAGACTCACCAGTTCTACCAACAGTCACATTTTAGAACAGGCATAAGGCAAAGTCCCATTGGTCTGCTTAGAAACACGCGTCAAGTTTATTAAACAAACGATACAGTTTAAAGCTGCACCATGTCATCTTTGGTGCTCATCAGCAGATCAATAAACTGTCCCTGTTTTCATGCAGAAATGTATCTTGAAGTAATGAGTATCTTCTAATTTGCTTTGGCTTTACTGAGTCTTAAGCTAGTTAATCCTTGCAGATATAAGAAAAAAATCTTGCAGCTTGGTTAGGGCTCATATGCACGATACCAGACCATTAGCACTTCATGAATAGCATCACATGCAGGGTTCCAAACAAAGCCTTCTGTGTCAGCTTCCATAATGTTGGTACCTCAGTAGCTGGACTGGGAATGTTTCGTGTTTCATAGATTGTTAGATAAATATTTGAATCTGTTGTATGTGTTTTTAAAATCTTTGTATCATTTTTTTGGAATCTGTACTCTGATCCCCTCAAATACTATCTTCATGTACATCCAGTAGTATAATAGATACTAATATTCACTTTTAATGCTGCACCTGCCATTTCAGTGTGTAACATACTCATGTATTAGTCTTTTTTTTCAACAGAGAGAATGAAAAATCTAAAGAAAAAATATTCAAATTTAACCTTTATAATTTTTTTGTGCATATAATTCCAGTAATGTTGTTCTGCCCTTCCCCATTTTTGCAATCTGTCTCTTTTCATTGGCCTTATTTTATAAATTCCTTCAAATTCTCTTCAGATTTCATTCCCTAGGGACATTTTAAAGGAAAGTCAGTGTTACCTATGATGTGTGCCTCTGCTTCCTTAGAAGTTCACAGCTTGATCCTTTGCGCATATGTTTGAAAATACATTTCATTGGTATCAGAAGAGCTTATTACCCCCAAGAGTGTCCAAGATTGCAGTCTGAATTAAAAGATCAGCATATACTTTTCAGAATGTGTCTTAATGATGTTCCTCAGAGAAGTTTGGTAATAACTGGAATGTGGAACGAAGGAAATGTCATTTTAAGAAGCAGACACAATTGATTAGTTCTAGGGAAATTACACTTCCGTATTTTGAACCTTTTTTTTTTTTAAGTTGCACTATGCAATTGTATGTAAGATCATATATGGATAAACGATAGGCAGAACCAAAAATGAGCAGAATTTGTGGGATTATATTGCTTTTCTGTCTGCACTACTTCATCTCTCCAAGCTGTCTGAAATTAGGATGTAGGTTTCAAGATGTATTCTAGGAATAACAATCACTTTCCATTATTTCTGAATAGTTTGTCTCTAAACCAATAATTGAAGAACAAAAGAGCTCCTTTGCATGCTCTTGGGGCAGAAGATTGGCTCATCACGACATTTGTTTAATGAAAACTTACTAAATTACCACCAATAATTAGATATATCCCTGAGCTCTCTCTAATTATTACTCATGATTACCTGAGAGAGAGAGATCTTACTCAGAGCTTCATTATTTAGGGTAGGAACAGTTGTACTCTCATCTTGAAGAGGCCTCGTCTTGTAACAATGTCTGTTAAGCGCAAGAAAAATGATCTACATGTGCCTCTCTCTAGATGATACTTGCAGTTCTAAATTTAGTTTCCCAGCATCCCAGGAGATCGTTACAGCTCTTTGTGAGGCAGAAGCAAGACATCTGCTATTATCTCAAGCTTCATGAATATGCAATGGGGAAAAGAAGTAAAATACTACAGTGGAGGAGGTTGGAGGGAAGGCTTCTGAGCATGTATAAAGCTGATGTCTTCTAAGCTGGAAGCATCACTTTGTCCCAAAGGAATGAGGACCCAGAAATTCCTCTGTAATAAGTATGGAGCAAAATTCTCCAGAAAGAAAACAAACAGGCTATTGTCCTATTAGCAGAAGTAACTTATCAGAAATCCTAAACTTACCATTTATTTTCCAAGTCTCCTGCTTTCTTACAACCCAGCACTTTCAACAGGTTTTAAACAGGAACTTGCAGCAATAAGATGCAATGTGTAACAGCAAAAATAAGCATAGAAACAATGCAGAACAATGGAAGAATAAAAAAAATTGAATTCTTGATGAAACCAAAAATAGAGTGTAACTACTGAGAAGGCCATTTTGCTCATCCTGGGCACCCAAGAGTGTTTTCAGAAGGATGGTTAATTGTGCAATCACCCTGCCTCTTTCCTGGAATTGTATAGAGGGCTTCACACAGCATGGTCTTCTATTTATAGTCATACTATGTTCCTACACTTCCATCTATTTTCATAGTATGGGAAGTTTTGGGGGGAGGGAAAGAATGGGAGAACTTCATGATGTTTCTTCATCTGTAATGCTAGGAAGCCTTAATGGATAAGATGCCTCCTAAGGACCCTACAACTCTTCCCTAATCATAGATCATATTTTCCCCCATCTATTTTTTATTTGGGAGGGGAAGACTCGTGGTTGCAGGGCAACTGCACTTGGGAACCCCCTGAGCTTCAGACTTCTATCCAGAGTTCCAGACATATTGGACCCTTAATTCCAACTGTTCAGGTAACCCTAGTTAGTAGCACTGCTAGTAAAGCTAGTAGCCTACCAGGACCTGCTGACAGAGGAAATTGGGAATCCCCGGAAGATGCTTCTTTTTCCAGAGCAACTAGAAATTTGGGTCCTTCTCTACTGCCAGAAAAGTGAAATATGAAGTCAGTCCTTAACTGATCTTTGATACTGTGCCATGAAATAAAGGAGATGATAGTCATACATTAGCCATGTGTTCTGTGAGAATGGTAAAGATATCACCGTATGTTTTAAGGGGCTTTGTTTATTCGCGATTAATGTACCTCCCTTGTTAGTAGATCTTAACAAAAGGAAGCTTGCAGTTCTTTGGCAAGCAAAGAAAATTGGAATTAACTTAATAGTGAATCTGAAATTGTTTGGATTAAGGAGACAAAGAGGTTTCAGCAGGACTTTTTCTTCCTAACCCCCCTTCCTCAAACGACATAACAATAACCTGCTCTGTAGGAACTCATCTACCACATAATCACCGTGACTAATATAACAGAAAATGTACACAATGGAACAAGCACATGCAGGGTTTGCAAGTTAGAAGGGTTCTGATGTTGGCTTTCCTCTACCATATTAGCAAAAGACAACTCTAGAGCAAAAGGTTGAAGTATAGGAATGTATATTTTCTTAGAAATGAAATTGAAGATTAACCTGAAAGTAATCTTTGCCACCTATTATAGGACTAGTGCGCAACATTTCAAACCATGGGAGTCACACTTAACATTTTGGGGGAGGAGAGTCATAATGGTTGGGTGATTCTGAAAAATGGCTGGTACCATCTAGCATGGAAGTGTGGCCAGAATTTTCTGCATTTGGTTTTGTTTTGTTTATAATTAAGCCTATCTTAACTTACAGTCTTTAATTTCAAGCTGGCATCAAACCACATCACTGAATTTTGGCAGTAATGATCACAAGGAGCTGCTTCTTGTGGGTCTGACTTGAGTAAACATGTAAGGCAATTGGACTGGATTGCAATGAAGTCCATGTATGATGAGCAGAATAAAATGACCTACCTAGAAAAGAATGGGCAGGTGATGGCAATAAGAAGACAAAATTAAACAATAGTAGTATCAAAGATTTCACTAGCAAGATTAGCTTTGTGTAGTTTTATAAATTAGGTACTGATTCTAACCACAAGGCATACCTGGTGAGAGTTTAACTCATCTTCTGCTAAGCTAGTTGAATGCCATCCCTCCCTATTTCTGGCTCAGATCCATACTGCCACTTGCTACTACATTTGCCTCGGTCCTCCCCCTGTGGCTGAGAGATTTGTTGGGAAGATGATTGAGCTTCTACAGTGATGTTTTTCTGAGTTGTGCTGAACATTGTTAACCTTGCATCAAAGGTATAAAGGTTATCAAAGGAAGTTTCAGTATTGGAATTGATTCAGAACTCAGAAGATCAAACACTGTAGCTAAAAGGGTTTAGACTGATCGTTATTTTAGAGATTGGCACTGAAGATAGGGTGTGAAAATCCAATCCTAATGAATTCAAAGAACCAACCTGACGATATTGCCAGCAAATAACTAATGTGGGTCAAGGTTCATCTCTTTCTCCCAGAATGCTCCATGGTCTATGGAAGTCCATATTTTGGGAAGGAAGCCACAGCACTGTTAAGATCTTGGCTTCTAATTCATTTTTCAGAGAGTTATTGGTTGCATAATTGGCTTATTAACAGGGATTGCTTTATTTATATTAAATAAATGTATATGGCTGTCCATCTAGCCAGTGAAACTCTGGGTGGCAAACAAAAAATAAAAACATGATACACAATCAAAATCAACGAAAAGAACTGAAGCGAGACCATTGTTAAAAAAAACTAAATAACTCCTTACCAACATAATATATGCTGGTTTCATTAACATTCTGGCCCCAGTGCTTGGAGGCGAAACCAGGTATTCACAGCTTTCCAGAAGGCCAACAGGATTGGGGCTGTCCAAATATCTGGGGGGAGGCTGGTCCATAAGACAGATGCTATGGACAAGCCACACTTCCAAGGTGCCACCAAGGAGATCCAGATCATGCCAAATGTAGTAGGATGGGCAAAGACCATAAGAGATGTCTAAGCTATACTTCAAGGGTTTAGTCATTGCATCCCTTTATATGAACTGACCAGATATGAAAACTCCTTCATGGATTCTTCACATGTTGCTTGTCTCCAAATTTTGCAGTGCACTTCTTGGCGTGTGCGCTCTCTCTCTCTCTGTCTGCATATTTTAAATTAGAGGACTTGATTATTTAGGATAAAGACATTTATACATGCATACACGAAGAAAAAATATTTAGATTTTGATTTTTTAAATACTACATTCCATATTTTGTGCGTGTGCGCGCACACACACACACACACAATATAAGCAGATGCAGGCCAAAACTAGCCAAACTGAACATCTGTGAAACTGATATGGACTAAGAACAGAATAAACCAGACAACTTCACGTGGGTCTCTCTAGATATCCTGAGGTTATAATCTGGGAATTATGGGAAATAGAGTCCCAGGCCCAAAACTTCATTCTGTCCAATTGGGTATTAACTCCGCTACAGTTTTAAAAAAAAGATGGGCAGAAAGGATTTTAGAAGGATCATTTATCCAAGAGACAGCAGGGAAGAATGTGGGTTGAACTAAAGGAGCTGGTGCACATTAAGGGCACTTCCGTAGAGGATTCTGTGCCAGTTTAAAAGCTGTTTGTGGAATTCAGCAGCTGAGACGATTTATTTCTGTCTCAACTGCAATCCTACTCAAATGGCAAAAAAAAAAAAAAAGTAATAAAAATGTAATCTTGCTTTTTGTATTGGTGAAGCTCACAGGGCTTGTGAGCAATCCATTTCATCCCTGCAGAGAATGATTGCTTCACCTGTCCTGCTGGCTCTTGAGCTTCTCCTGTCCCATCAGAGAAATGATGGCTGAGTTCAACAAGGGTTCTGTCCGTGATTGGGTTTGGGTTATTCAAATAGAACCGACAAAAACAGTGGTGGCATGGAATTGTTTTTACGGAAAGTTCCAGTTCCTGCAGCTTGAAAAGTACACATTGTGTTTGGAACTTTTCACCCCCACTCACCCACTTGTGCTGCAGCCTCCAAGAAGTATGGTAGAGGTGTTGAGAAAAGTCCTCGCCTGCAAAACGGATGACTTGATCCTCTACCACCTTCACAACTCTGAATGAAATTTTGAATAAAGAAGGAATGATGGCTAGGTAACCAGCCTCCTGAGTCCATTACAAATGCTCAGATTCCTTGTACCTGGTCAGACAAGCCCACGCAACATGTACTGAAAACATGGAGGGGAGAGTGTAAGTGGAGGTGAAGCACTTTTTGTCCCAGGATGGGCAATAGTTTGGGCAGGGCATTGACTGAATATGTGTTAAGGTTTTTTGTAGACACCTATTGCCTCATCTAGAAGGAGAAAACTGACTGGCTCATTGTCTTCTCATCAGGTTCTCAGATCATCAGGAGAGAGGATGATCAGCAGGACCATTGCACACTGCTCTGGAAGGATTAAAGAGTAGAAACTATGCCATTTGGAAGTGTCCTCCATTTACAGCTCAATGGACACGTGCAAAATGTTCACTGTCTTGCTGTATGCATCTTCTTCTCTGAGTAGTGAGAAGGTCCAAAAGCATCACCATTATCAGGATTGGTTCTGTTGAGAAGGAGCTCCCTAAAAACTTATTGGCATTTTTTTTATATTCAGAGTAATTTCCATATAGTATGGATAGAGAACTAAGTAGGTAGACAGGAAGATGGAGGGAGGGATAGATGATAGATGATGAATGGATGGATGGATGGATGGATGGATGGATGGATAGATAGATAGATAGATAGATAGATAGATAGATAGATAGATAGATAGATAGATAGTGTATGGAGGCACTGCTTATGCTTCAACAGGTAGTCAAACTCCTCTGCTTCCAGGTCACATCTCTATCACCTACTTCCTAAGAGGTGTAGGGATCTCAAAGGTTTCAAAATCTATTTCCCCACCCCAGTCTCTCTCTAAATGCAGCTAGATACCTGAATTACCTCTTCTTTAACTGGGAAGAGGAGGAAGGAAGTCTAACTGCACAGCTCAGCCCAGTTTTCACATTTACAACATTCTCCAAGAGTATCAAAAAGCAATTGGCTAGTTGTTTAGTTCTCATGGCAACATGTCACCTATAGATCACTATTAAAAAAGGCTGCATGGTGACCAGTTTTAACCCTTTCCCAGCTAATTTATGTATTCTAAGGTTTGCTGTAGCTTTGCAATGGCAAAGCGGACTAAAAGACACATCTAAGGTGATGGTACTAAAAACAATATCATCTAAAAATAAGCCATAGAGGACAAATGTTTGCATATAATTTGTATCTGCTATAGATAAAAATTTAGACGTTATTATTAGAATTTAAATAGAATTTAAATAGAAACACAACATATTTTACCATAGTCTATGGTCAGTCTGTGGTCAGCTTATATTCCAGGTTTGAACTAAGGATGGACAATTAAGATCCCTAATTCTTTTTGAGATCCCTGTCCTCCTTCTCAGCCAGACTTGGACTGGAAAAAATAGGAGATATTTTAAAATAGAAAACTATCTTCACTATAAAAAAACAAACAAACCCCTCAGCTGTGACAGTACTTTTCTGATCTGTCTGATCCTGAAAAGCTAAGCAGGCTTGGATCTGATTGATATTTAGATGAAAGTCCACCAGGAAGCCTAGGACAACAAGTCTAGATGGGAGAGTTGAAAAACATATTCCAGAAGGTGGCAATGACAAACTGCTTCCATGGATGTGTACATGTAGGCACCAGGTGTTGAGCTAGATTCAAAGAAGACTTTACCTCTATAAAGAAGGGCACATTGGCTTCCTAATCATCTGGTAACATACTCAGAGCAACCCCAGCCAGCATGGTCAATGTTGACAGCTGCTGGAAGTTGTAGTTCAACAACATGTGAAGGGCCAGAAACTTACCACCTTTGTATAAAACTACAAAAACAACAGACGTATGCATGCAGAATAAGGCTGCTGAATGACAGTGAACTTTCAAGAGGAAAGCATTTCCCTTTCCATAACAGATGGTCTTGGCCAAGAAAAAGAGAAGAGCAGTGGGAAGATACAGGATTCCAAATGGAAAATGACATCTAGCCTCCTGGAAAATTGTATGTTTGGGGTACCTCAACAGAATTTACTACGGATAT